AGTGCAAATAGAGGAGCGTGCGCCTATCCGCTCCCCAAGAAGTATGGGACAAAACCTTAAGGAGGTTAAGGGCCTTAGAGCATTCAACTCGGAGGTAAAGAGATATGGGCTGACCAAGACAAACGAGTGTCAAAGACTAACCCCAAAAGCTTCGCGGAATCCCTGTACACAGGGATGACCATAAAGTGACAAAGAGGGACGAAGAACGACATGCTTCCGAGTAAAAGTCATAGCACAAGTCTTAGACGCAGAGAACTTGAAGCCATGATCGGTGGTCCAAGACGACACGGCATCAATCGCAAGTTGAAGCCGCCGTCGAAGGAGAGGGGAATCATCACCCCGACAGCAAAGGGTAAGATCATCAACATAGAGAGCAGAGAAGATGCCAGAAGGAAGAAAGGAAAGAAGACCGTTGAGGGTAACTAGAAAGAGTAGTGCTCAGAACACTACCCTGGGGTACACCCTCATACTGCTGAAAAGGGGCAGAGAGAGCAGTACCAAGCCGCACACGAAAGGAACGACGGGAGAGGAAGCTTCGGAGGAAGAGAGGGAGGTTCCCATGAAGGCCAAAAGAATGAAGTTGAGACAGAATATGATACCGCCAGGTAGTGTCGTAAGCCTTTTCCAGGTCAAAAAGGACGGCAACAACGGAGGTCTTCGCAGCAAAAGCAGTACGAATATAGACCTCCAAGTTCACCAGGACATCTGTTGTGCTGCGGCACTTGCGAAAACCAAATTGAGAAGGGGAGAGGTGGTGATAGTGTTCTAAGAACCACATCAAACGAACGTTGACCATACGTTCAAAGAGCTTGCAGACACAACTCATGAGGGCAATAGGGCGGAAGTCCTTGGGAGATGACGCGAGAGGCCCTGGTTTCCGAACAGGGAGGATAACAGCATCGAGCCAGTCTTCAGGGACTGACGACGACTCCCAGACCAGATTGTACAGACTCAGTAAATACTGAGACGTGCACAGAGGGAGATGGCGAAGCACTTCATAATGAATGCCATCGGAGCCCGCTGCCGTAGAACCACAAAGGGCTAGGGCAGATTGAAGTTCAGAGAGAGAGAATGGATCATTATAGGGAAGGTGAAGATAAGTACAGAAATTTAAAGGACGAGATTCAAGGAGAGGCTTACGAAGAAGGAAGGATTGGGGGAGATGAGAACCAGAACTAACAGAGGAGAAATGGGAACCCAGTTTGGTCGCAACCTGCAACGGGTCCGCCACAAAAGCACCATGGAGGCGAAGGACCGGTGAGACATCGGGAACGAACTTACCCGCAATCTTGCGGATACGCTTCCAGACCAGTGGAAGAGGAGTTTCGGACGTAACGGTGGAGACACAAGATGCCCAGCAAGCACGTTTAGCCGCACGGATGGTCCTACGGGCCACCGCACTCGCCTTCCGTAACAAAAGAAAAGACTCAACCGTCTGCCGGCGGCGATGTCTCTTCCAGGCTGCACGCTTACAGCGGACAGCTCGAGCACAGTCCAAACTCCACCAGAAAACGCACTTCCGCGTTCCCCGAGAGGAAGAGCGAGGAATAGAGTGGTGGGCAGCGTCAAAGACAGTGTCATGAAAAAGAAGGAGGGCGCGAGGGAGAGGTAAAACGGAGAGGTCGGAAATAGTAGCACGGAGAGTAAAGAGGTGCCAGTCAGCCTTGGCAAACTGCCACCTAGGGAAGGAGAGAGGAGGGCGAAAGGAGAAAAAAGTGACAAGGATAGGAAAATGGTCACTGCCATGGAGGTCATCAAGGACTCGCCACCTGAAATCTAAGAAAAGGGATGACGAGCACAGAGAAAGATCGAGACAAGAAAGGAAGCGAGTCCGAGAGTCCAAATGAGTGGGCTCACCAGAATTAAGAAGGGACAGGGAAGAAGAGAGGATGAAATGTTCAAGGAGGCGATCCCGGGTGTTTGTCAGCACATCACCCCAAAGGGCATGACGACAACTGAAATCACCCAGCAGGAGCACAGGCTCTGGCAAGGAGTCTAGGAGGTGTTTAAGATCAGGAAGAGAATGTGGGACAGTGGGGAAGAGACAAATGGAACAAACCGGGTACCATCTACGCACAAAGACACGGGCGGCAGAACAGTGAAGAGGCGAGGAAAAAAGTAAGGGGACAAAGGGAACATCGGAACGAATCAAGAGAGCAGAAGAATTATGGACCCCAGCTACAGCTGGGGGAGGGGAGAGAAAAGAATAGCCACGGAAGCGACCAGGACGAGAACCAAGCATCGGCTCCTGGAGACAGACACAAAGGGGCGAAAACTGTGAAATGAGAAGTTGGAGGTCAAGGAAATTGGCGTAAAATCCATGGATGTTCCACTGAAGAAAAGACATCAGCAAAGAGAGAGAGAGGAGAGCAACAGAGAGCAAAGAAGAAACAAAGGTGAAGAAGGAACACAGCACGCTAAAAAAGCAGAGTCAGGATCAGGGTCAGCAAAGTCAGGGTTAGGGGGCATGGGTAAACTGAGTAAAGAAGGAGGGCAAGAAGCGGGAGGATGGACCAGAGGTGGACGAGCAGGATCTGGAGGAGAAGGAAGGGGAGGAGGGGGGGGGGCAGAAAGAGGGGAGCGCACCTCAGCAAGGGCAGTAACCGAGATGGAACCGGGGGCTAAAGAAACCCCCACAGTAGGAACAGGGGGCACCACCACCGAAGCGGGAGGGGAAGGAACGATAGAATCAGAGATATTGGGTGAAGAAGAAAGCGAAGCTTTCTTACCGACAGGGGAGGAGGAAGGAGAGGAGCCAGGTTTCCGCTTCTGACTCAAAGATACAGGCGTCCCAGCAGCAACGTACTGGGCAACAGACTCCAGTGTCTCGATAGAAGAAGAGCGAGAGCGAACAACACAACCATCAGGAGAGCAATGGACGTCGGCCTGCACAGTCAGGCGGTGTGGAGAGTCAAGAGACGGAGGAGAAGGACGGGAAGGAGGACTAGAAGGAGAGGAAATAGAAGACACAGGAGACGTGACAGACTGGGTAGAAAGAAGGGGAGCCCTAGACAGAGAACCAGGAGGGGGACCCTTCGGGACAGAACGGAGAGAAACAGGGGAAGCGGAGGTGGGCATGTCCAGGTCTAAGGCTCGGAAACGGTTATGAGACTGAGGAAGGCGGGAAGGACGAGGAGAGGAAGAGCGCACCACGTGAGCATAGGAGACACCAGCGAAAGAGGGGAGATGATGAACTTGGCGCCGAGCCTCAGGAAAAGACAAACGGTCTCGGTGCTTCAAGCTGAGGACAGCCGCCTCAGGTTTGTAACGAATACATGCACGGAGAAGGTAGGGTGGGCCTCACCGCAATTGAGGCAGCAGCTAGGTCTGGGGAGAAGTGCACTCCAACTTAGAGTGACCCTCGCTTCCACACAGGAGACAGAGAGAGACAGGACTACAGCATTTGAGGGTACCATGCCCAAACTTCCAGCACTTACTGCAGAGCCGAGGAGATGGAATATACTCCTGAACGGAGCACCTGGCACCAGCAAGAATGACAGAGGATGGAAGGGTCCTACCATCAAAGGTAACCTTCACAACCCGAAGAGGCAGACGGCGATGACCACAAGGGGGACGTGTAAATGTATCCACCTGGAGGACAGAATGACCCTGGGCCTCGAGGACATGCTTGATATCCTCGTGGCAATCCCTGAGATCCCTAACACCGGTCGCAACATGGTGCGGGAGAAGAACAGTGCCCACACTGGCATTCAACCGAGTGTTCTTCGAGGCCCGAACAGGGGTTTCGCCAAGGCAGGATAAGGCGGCCAAGCGAGTGGCCGCATCCTGAGAAGGAGCAGCAACGACATGGGTAACAAGACGAGTGGGGTTGAAGGTGACAGAGGCATCCATGGAATCGACAAGATGCCTATGAAGGGGAAAATCGTCAGGAGGAGTCGAGTCCAAAGGTTGGAGGTCAAAGTACTTAGTCCATGTAGCAGGACCAAACAAAGCATGGAACGAAGTAGGATAGGAAGGGAGCATACGAGAGCAGCCGTGGCGGGGACGGCGATGAGAACCCGTAGAGAGACGGGTCGAAAGGTGCAGTAGTCGCAAGAAGAGATGGAGCCGTGCGAGGGGGCGAGACGGTCACCACAGCAGGCTTGGGGCTCGACCCAACCACAGAGAAGGGAGGGGAGCAGGAAGGAAGAGTCCGGTCTGGGCCTAAACTAGGGCTCTGTAGCGGAGGTTACAGATCCCGGTCTTCCAGGACGGTCCGACTCAAGGGCCTGGTCGCCCACCCCATGAGCCTGGTTAGGAGTAGTCAAGTCGTCATCCATATAGCAAACCAATATATAAGGGATGGGACCCGGAACCAAGGGATACCACCTACCAGGGCAGCCAGGGAGGCCGAGCGCGGGCCAGTGCAGGAAGGGTATGTCGTCCCCAGCGGTGCTCCCCCTTTTCAACAGGGGAGTCCTACTACTTCGTTCATTCTCCCACACTGGTGCTAAGACCCCAGTCCCCCTATCGCCCTAGCCTGGACACCCAACCATCCACTCAGGGCGGCCTCTCACAGGCGACCCCTCCAGCGGGTGGTCCGATGGCTCACAAGGCCCCTACATGGTGCCCTTCAGCACGTACACCACCCAAAGAGGGGGCAGGAGAGGGGGCACAGGCAACCGACACCTGTCCCAGGGAGGTGTACGCGAGCCCCTCACCATGGCAAGGAGGCACCACAGAGGGGTGTTGCACATAATATACTGTGTGTGTTTGACTGACACGTACTTATCCAGAGAAAGCACCAATGTTGGTAGATTTTATAGGCAAAAATATGATAAAAGTATATGCTGTGTAGCTTAAAATCATAAATACCAGCAGCAACAATTACAGTATAATACAATGTAATATTCAATACTGAAAATTATGAACCCAAAATGACTTGCCTCCAATGTGTAATATATTTTCATACACAGTACACATACACAGTAGTTATAGGGCAAGTAGTGTTTTGTTGAAATGGAAAAATATTACTATGGTCATGATAATAAAAAACTAAATATAAAGAAACATTTATACAAATATATATTAAAGTCCTCTCGTTCTTTCTAATGCCTGCACATACCTCCACAGTAACAGTACAGTATTGAGCAATGTAACACAGATGGTTTGGGCATGATGATCAAAAGAATGAAGACAGGCTAGGGAAGAAAGTACCCGTATTAGAGTGAAGTTGTGTGTAAGGTGAGAGGAAGATCAGGTAGATCACAGGACATGGCAGACGAATATGTGAGAAAGTGGAGAAAGGTAGGAAACCAGACTGAGTGGCAGCAGTTTGAAGGAGTAATAAGGGGTCGTACTGCAAATGGCAACTCATGAGAAATGAGGCAAACCTAATTGTACTTGATCACAAGTTGTGGTGCCTCCATTAGACTGTAGGGTATGACATGAAAGGTCAGGCACCCTTTTCGTGCTGATCACCTATGATCTATCACCTCACCAAAGAAAATGAAAAATGGAAATACAGATGATATGTGATAAAACATATATGGTAATATATAACTTTTTAAAACACAAAATTGAGTGAAACATACAGAACAGTTCTTAAATAATGATTTGTAATTATGGGTAAACATTAATGTTCCTAAACCATAACATCTTTATCACAGTTCAAAAAGCAACACTTAAAATTATTTCTCAAATTCTAGATGATAATTTCACTACAAATAAACAAAATGGCTGCGCACTGTCCAAACTAAAAATAAGAATATATGCAAATAAAAATGATCACACACATAAGAAATGACTCCAAAACCAAACCATCTATTACCTGACCATATATGCCAATATATTGTTGGATCAAAACTCTATTCCTTTGCCTGCACAAAACCCAACACTTAAAAGCATGTATAGGAAAACAAAAAATTCAGTGTATTTTTTTATATATACTATTCCCAAATTAACATAAAGAGGGATGGCCAATGACTTGAGCAGAGTACAACCAATTTTTACTTCACCATTTCCATCTAAATTTTAAATTATTGATAAAGTACTGGGTAACCTTGATCCCACATCAAGGCAGTTTTGTGAATTAAATACCAGTATTTATCAAAAGTAAATACCATTTGTCAAACTATATAATTTCTTATTTGCAGACACTGAGTCGCAATAATGTGGCTGAAGATATGATGACCAAACCACACGCCAGAAATTGGAGAAATGATGATGCTTGGGTCTGTCCTGGACCATTATCTAGTCGTGTGATTCACACGACTTCATAATGGTCCAGGACGGATCGGAACGTTGTCGTTTCTCCATATTCTGACGTGTGGTTTGGTCATCATTAATTTTTAGTTCTATGATTTAGAACATTCAGAAAATTTAGTTCTTTGGACAAGTTGGTTTCTAACACAATTTGACATAAATTTTCAACATGCTATTTTGTTTTTCTTACCTACTTTCTTGTTTATAGGAAAATATTCAAAATGATAACTTTATTGTGAATACAGTATATCAAACGTGCAATGTGTACAAGGGTCAATACACAGGCTCCTAGCTCGTATTGTATTGGGAAATTGTAGGATTAGAAGCACATCCTGGGCAGGAGTGAACCGTTTCATGGAGGAAAATGTCGCAATTGAAACAAAAAACTTGTCTGCATGTTCGACAAACATAAACCTGTTGAAGAGAAAATAATTATAAGCATCTTTAACACACACACACAGTATTTAAAAATAACATTAAGGGATGAGGGGGGAATGAAATCTTTCACAATTCCAATACTTTCACACACACACACACACACACACACACACATACTGACTGCATTTTTAAACCTACTTTTATTACCATTAATTCTTAAGTTACGTGAAAGCAGGTGAAGATGTGTCATGAATTTGTACGCTACTGTTAGAGCTTAATGCATCTTCGCTCTTCAATGTATGGTGTTGTGAGCATAAGAGATTCCCAATGAAAAATATCAATAAAGTGAACTTTAACAATTGGCATACATATCTCACGACATTTAAATATAGTACCAGTTTCCTTCGGTGGATGGAAAGATCATTTCCTTAACTCAACCGTAAATACTCTGTAATAAATGCACACTGATCCTAACATACCAATTTAATGAAAAAACCAGCGTTGAATGTAATGAAACACCATTTTCTGGGTGAGTCCCGGAGGCTCACCAGAGCCATCCAGGCTGATATGGATATGTATAACTTTCTGTCATTAAAGTGCATGGAGTTCTTGCCAACCTAGGACCACGAGCCAGAACCTGACCCCTCAGAGAGACGCGAGGAGCAACGTCCTATAGAAACTCCCGTGTGGTTGGGAGCATTCAATGTCTGCCATTGATTCGGTCTGGCACCCAGAAAGGTAGGCGCTCTAAAACAAACCCCAATTCTGGCAAAAAATTGCTACCAAAAGCAGAACGAGTGGACAGAACTCCTCAAACGAAAATTAGCAAACGAGCATGAAGTCATCACGCTGCCGCTCCGCTGTCTGCACAATCCGTCTCCTTCCCGGGAGGGGGAAGGAGAAGCCCCAGACCCTCGCTCCGGAAATCCACCCACCAATTCTTAAGCGGGATGTTAAAATAAGCGAAAAACACCACCGACCAGAGGGAGGGAGAATTGCTGGGGAGCCTCCAGGACTCGCCCAGAAAATGGTGTTTCATTACATTCAATGCCGATTTTCTGGGGGAAGCCCCATTGGTTCCCCAGAGCTATCTCACCAAAGAAAAGGAAAAGAGGGAAGGACCAAGGAGGCGGACGCCACGCGCCCGAAGACAAAATCAAGACACCCGGCAAAACCAAAGGACCCTACAGACGACCCGGGAAAAGAAGAAGATGGCTGCAACCGAACAAACCTATGACCACGACCACAAGAGCAGAAACCCTTGTGCCGGAGGAGAGCATGAAGCACCCTAACCTTACCCCTAGAGGCTAATGCCAACAAGAAAAAAACCCAGCGTTGAATGTAATGAAACGCCATTTTCTGGGCGAGACCCGGATGCTCCCCGGAGCTTTACCAGGCTGATATGCTAATGTCAGACTTTGGCATCAGTCATGTGTATGGAGTTCTAGGGTGTACAGGGGACCACGGCCAGAACCTGGCCCCCTCAGAAAAGCAAGGGGAGCAATGGCCTATAGAAACCCCCGTGCGATTGGAAGCATTCTATGTCTGCTATCGACCGGGTCAAGCATCCAGAAAGGTAAGCATTCCAAACCAAACCCCTATTCTGGTTAAAATTGCTACCAAAAGCCGAACTAGTGGATAGAACTCCCCAACAAAAACAAGCAAACTAGTATGACGTCACACGTCACTGCGCCGCTCTCTGCACAGCTCCCCCCCTACCCGGGAGGGGGCAGGGGGAGCCCCAGACCTCCCATGCCGGCTATCCACCCATCAGTTCTTCGGCTGATACTATAGGCACCGGTTGTGTGCTCCGGCTCCAGTAGTTGTTTTAGCACTGTACCTAGAGTTGTGGTGTCTGTCTTCTAGGTGGTGCGTGAGCCGGGAGTGAGTCTCCAGTACTCGGGCTGCATGCGCCTAGGGTTCCCTTCCCTAGGTGTCCTGTAAGTACTGCCTTTGGGGCTTGGAGCCACCTTCCACAAGTTCCTTGGGTTCTGCCCCTGCTAGGCTGCTTACTGCCTGGTTTTGTACCCTGTACTATGTTTCAGATCCTCATTTTTGCCATACTTGAGTACCTGGAATTTATCACTGTTAAACATCATGTTATTTTCTGCTGCCCAATCAAAAACTTTGTTGATATCTGCTTATAGTTTTTCAATGTCTTCAGCAGAGGTAATTTTCATGCTGATTTTTGTGTCATCTGCAAAGGATGATACGAAGCTGTGACTTGTATTTTTGTCTATATCTGATATGAGAATAAGGAACAGCTGTGGTGCAAGGACTGTACCTTGAGTTACAGAGGTTTTAACTGCGCTTGGACTCAATTTTATTTGATTGACTGTTACTCTTTGTGTTCTGTTCGACAGGAAATTGAGTATCCAGCGTCTTCTTTACCAGTTATTCCCATTGACCCCATTTTGTGTACTATCACTCCATGGTCACATTTGTCGAATGCCTTTCCAAAGTCTGTATATACAATATCTGCATTCTGTTTTTCTTCTAATGCCTTAGTGATTTTGTCATAATAGTCAAGTAGCTGGGAGAGGCATGATCTTCCTGCTCTAAATCCATGTTGGCCCGGATTGTGGATGTCACTGGTTTCCATGAATCTAGTGACCTGACTCATGATCACTCTCTCAAATACTTTTATTATGTGGGACATTAGTGCAACTGGTCTATAATTCTTTGCCAATGCTTTGCTCCCTCCCTTGTGTAGAGGGGCTATGTACTCACATAATTGTGCTTGCGGGAGTTGAGCTCTGGCTCTTTGGTCCCGCCTCTCAACTGCCAATCAACTGATGTACAGATTCCTGAGGCTCTATCATATCTACATTTGAAACATCGTATGGAGTCAGCCTCCACATCACTACCTAATGCATTCCATCTGTTAACTACTCTGAAAACTGAACGACACTGAAAAAAAAAATTTAACGTCCCTGTGGCTCATTTGAGTACTGTACTCAGTTTCCACCTGTGTCCCCTTGTTTGTGTACCACCCGTGTTAAATAGTATCTTTATCTACCCTGTCAATTCCTCCGAGAATTTTGTAGGTAGTAATCATGTCTCCCCTTACTCTTTCGTCTTCTAGTATCGTGAGGTGCATTTCTCGCAGCCTTTCCTCGTAACTCATGCCTCTTAGTTCTGGGACTACCCTAGTGGCATATCTCTGAACTTTTTCAAGCTTTGCCTTGTGCTTGACCAGGTACAGGCTCCATGCTGGGGCTGCATACTCCAGGATTGGTCTTACATATGTGGTATACAAGGTTCTGAATGATTCCTTACACAGGTTCCTGAAAGCAGTTCTGATGTTAGCGAGCCTTGCATATGCCGCAGATGTTATTCTTCTGATGTGGGCTTTAGGAGACAGGGTTGGTGTGATATCAACTCCTAGATCCTTCTGTCTGTTTTATGAAAAACTTCCTCTCCCATCCTATATCTTGTGTCTGGCCTCCTGTTTCCACTACCTAGTTTCATTACCTTACATTTACTCAGGTTGAACTTTAGTAGCCATTTGTTGGACAATTCATGCAGTCTGTCTAGGTCATCTTGTAGTCTCATACTTTCTTCCTCCGTCTTAATCCTCCTCATAATTTTTGCATCATCAGCAAACAATGAGAGGAATGATTCTATACCATCTGGAAGATCATTTACATATATATAAGAAACAGTATGGGTCGAATGAAACGGAAACTGAGCCCTGCGGGACCCCACTGGTGACATCTCGCCAATCTGAGCCTCACCCCGCAGTGACTCGCTGCCTTCTGTTACTTAGGTATTCCCTAATCCAATGGAGTACCTTCCCTTTCACTCCTGCCTGCATCTCCAGCTTTTGCACTAGTCTCTGGTGTGGCACTGTGTCAAAAGCTTTCTGGCAATCCAAAAATATGCAGTCTGCCCACCCTCTCTTTCTTGTCTGATTCTTGTTGCCTGATCGTAGAATTCAATTACTCCTGTGAGGCATGACTTGGCATCCCTGAAACCATGTAGGTGTTGTGACACAAAGTTCCTTCACTCCAGGTGTTCAACTAGCTTTTTTCGCACAATTTTCTCCATTAGCTTACATGGTATGCAAGTTAGGGACACTGGCCTGTAGTTCAGTGCCTCCTGTCTATCCCCCTTCTTGTATATCGGGACTACGTTCGCCGCCTTCCAAATTTCTGGCAGTTCACCTGTTACCAGTGATTTGTTATACATCATGGAGAGTGTCTGCTGCTTTCAGCGCACCTGGTATCTTCCCGTATCCACTCTCTTCCTCCACACTATACTGAGTGACTGTGCTACTGGCACTTTGCATTTTTTTTATAAAAATTGAACTCCATGAGTCTGGACCCGGGGCTGAGTGCATGGGCATATTGTTAATTTCTCTTTCAAAATCTGCTACGCTCGTGTTGCCCCATTCGAGGCAGGGACGGAGGCATTTAAGCCGGTTTCTCCTGCCAAGGCTCCTGGGGTCCTTCCAGCAGGTCCCTTTCTTGGATCCTCTTTTCTGCGGATTCACCTTTTCTTCAAGGATGGAGAGCGTTGAGGATGGCTCTGTCCCAGATCCTAGTTTGGTGGATTCCGGGGCCGGGGGGTAAGCAGCCTGGGGCGCTTGGTCCCCCCTTTTGACCCTGCCTGCCTGCCTTCTTCTGGACAGGGTAGCTGTTGCAAGGTTCAGGGTTTTCGTACCCCATTGTGCGAATTTGACATGGGGCCGGCTTCTTCCCCCCACCTTCCCCAGGTTCCCTTTGGGTTCCACGGCTACGTTCTTCCTGAGGTTTTCGACCTCTCGAATTTTCCCTGCAGAGGTTCGGGAGGCCCTTGGTGAGTACCTCCTGTGAGACCCAGCTTCTGCCTCGGTACCTGACCCAGTCTCTTGAGTTTGGGTCTTCTTCACTGTATTAGATATGTTATGAGGTGCTGGTGTCTTCCTGGTTTGCGGATTGCCCTTTCTTTAAGTTGGGTGTGTGGCATACGTTCAGTCTTTCCTGCACGCTTGAGTAGTGGGAGCTCACTACGGTTTAACAGGTGTACTTCATTGGCCCATTTGAGCATCTTAATGTATGCTTGTACGCCCCTGTGCTTCCTCGTGAGGTTAGTGTGCTTCAGTTGTATGTCCAGGTCCCTTCCCTTTTGGCTACCTTGGCTGCAGAGGATCTTCATGCTCGTGGGCATTTGGCTTCGGTCCTTCACTTCATTTCCCTTCTCGAGCAGTCCTTGGACTGGCTTGGGAAGGATGTAGAGGAGTTGTCTGCCGTATTGACCTCGGCAGCCAGGGCGTCAGTGGCATTGCTTAAGCTATTTGCACCTATCCTGTTTCTTCCCCGTCACTTCGCCGGGTCTTTTTGGAGTGGGTGCACTTGGGCGTGGTCGAAATGACCTCGTCCCTCAGGTGAGTTTCTCCCTTTTCCAGTGCTGAAACAACACTGAGCGGATCCGAGATTCATTCTAGACTTGTCTCATCTGAATTGGCTTCATTCTGGACCTGTCCCTAGGTCTGGCTTCTCTTGGAACCGGGTTCTTAGATGGCATCTCTGGACCTTCGGGATACGTATTGGCACATTCCTATTCATTCGGGGTTCAGAGACTGGTTAGGTTTCGTGGTGGGGCATCAGGTTTACCACTTTTGTTGCCTTTCTTTCGGGCTAAATCTGGCATCTCACGTTTTCATGCGTCTTCCCCCAGGTCGTGGTTGCCTGCCTGCGTCTCCTAGGTATTAAGGTTTTAGCCTACCTCAACAACTGGTTGATTTGTCCCAGTCAATCCGCATGTCTGCTCGCCACAGGTTTGGTTCTTTCCCAGCTTGGCAGGTTCAGGTTCCTGGTGAACTGGACGAAGTCCCATCTGGTCCTGTCTCAGGTTCCTGGTGAACTGGACGAAGTCCCATCTGGTCCTGTCTCAGGTTCGGACTTGGCTGGGCCTTGTCTGGGATTCCTGGACAGCGTCCTTGTCTCTCCCTCAGGCGGCATTGTTCTGGCTGCAGTCTCTTGAGGTTATCTTGAGATGATTTCGGGGCTTTTAGTGTCCCCGCGGCCCGGTCCTCGACCAGGCCTCCACCCCCAGGAAGCAGCCCGTGACAGCTGACTAACACCCAGGTACCTATTTTACTGCTAGGTAACAGGGGCATAGGGTGAAAGAAACTCTGCCCATTGTTTCTCGCCGGCGCCCGGGATCGAACCCGGGACCACAGGATCACAGTCCAGCGTGCTGTCCGCTCGGCCGACCGGCTCCCTCGGTCTCGCCATCATCTGTTTCATGGGGGGGTTTCCTGGGTCACTCACCAGTTGCTTGAGCAGCTGTGCGGAAGTCTGAACTTCACTGATTGTTTACCCACTGGGTCGGGTTTGGTTGTGCCATCTGCTCTGGTTCTTTCAGGGCCATCCCTTCCACCACGCTCGTTGGGTTCGTCTCCCGCATGCCTTGGGTCAACTGCTGTGTCACCGGCTTCCTTTTCGGGCTTTTCAGGGATCGGTGCCATGGCGCCTTCTGGAGCCCTGCTTCGATGTGTTCAAGGATGCCTCCTCTTTCAGCTGGGGCTTTGTGACCAGTGCTTACCAGGTCGGCCAGGAGTAGTGGGCTCCGTCCTTCCGTCGGATTCACAAGACGATGTGGGAATTTGCAGCAGTGTGGCTTGTGCTACGTCAGATTCAGCTTGCTCGGGGCTCTACGATCCAACTCCATTCGGACTGTGCTCCAATGGTTCATTGTCTCTGCGGTCCTCGCCTCTTTGCGGCTGGTCGCTTTAGGTGACTCTTCTGCCGAGTTCTCAGGGTCTAGCTATCAGTGCAGTTCATATTCGTGGGGCATGTCCAATGTCCTGGCGGATGGCCTGCTAAGATTCATTCCCCCATCCACAGACTGGGCAGTCGACGCCGACTCCTTCAGTTGGCTCTGCCAGACGTTCGGGCCCGCAGAGGTGGACCTCTTCGCGTTGCCGTTGTCGAGGAGTCTCCCCCCGTCTATGTGGTGTCCTTCCCCGACTGCGTGGCCCAAATTAAGAAAATAAAAAAAATGCTAGAAGGCAAGATGTTTATTCTGGTTGAGCATTGGAGAGCAGGGAAGAGTTGGGAAGACCATGAACAGCAATGCGAGTAGTAGTACAGAAGTGGAGTCCCAACTTCAAGGAGCACAAAAGTTTTAAATGCAGGTATGCAAAGAAAAAGAGGGGATCAGGATTTATTCCATTAGACAATGGACTGCTAGAAAAGTGGGGTCCATTGGTCAAAACAAAGTACAGTACCTTCAAACTCAGGTAGGTAAGTAACAGTATGAGGCCTCTTCACTATACATGGGAGGCATGGAAATATTGTTATCTTTGGTGATAACTATTTGTTATAATGACTTGCTTTACTTGGTGAGAATCATGTGACTAATTTAATTTAATATACAAAACTTACTTTTTTATCTGCTGTAGAATCTGTGAATAGCTTTTGGCACCCATAGCAACTCTTAGCTGAAATATCCACTGCTGATATTTCCTCAAAGTGTTTCAGTGGGAAGAGATGTCTGTAACAAGAATTTTTAGGATCTAGATTACTCAAATATTTTAAGACTTTTGCATGTTAATTTGATTAATAATTAATAGCACTGTTTATAAATACTGTATATAATCTATTTAAAAATTTATAACAAATATGCAACAGATTCAAGGTTCACACCACTTCAATATTATGTGACATTTTCCGATTATCTGACAATCGGCCACAAAATTTTGGAGAACTTGACACCAGTATAGTCTAGTTAATGTTATGCAGAACCTCATTAATGTTAATAATTTACAGTATACCATAATTAGTATAAGAGGCAAGTTTCCTTACCTATATGATCGTGCCAGATGTGGTGCTGTAACTAACATGAGGCCACACACCCGACATTCAGCAGGAAGATCACAGTACTTGGCTGTGCACTGGGGGCAGTAATAGCCACGAGTGTTGAGAGGCGGTAAATCATCCAAGTGACTGAAACATAACCAAAATTATATCATTACTCTTAGCGTGTGTCTATTTACACGACACTGCTATGCTATGAAGGAACCATATACAGCTTTAACTGTTCCAAGCAATACTGCAGAATATTCATAATGTACTGAACAAGTAAATTGATTTGTCTTTAATTTCAGTAGAATATTCCACTATGACAGCAATTGAAAAACCAAATAGGTTTGTTAATACAATGTATTTTAAACACTAACGTAGCATATTTATTCGAATGTCACACCTTCAAAAGTTCCCACAATATGATTAACATTAAGACTTATTTGTGAAATTCAAAGTAAACAAATGTGTATATATATAATTTACTTATTCCCACTGGCTTCACTTACCACATGCATAAAGCAGGTTTAGCATCAGCATTAATCTGGTGCGGGAAGCCAACTTTGATGAGTGTATGATCCATTTTAACAGAGGCAGGTGGGGGCTCCAAGTGGTCATGAATCAACTCCTTCAGGTGGAGATCATTAATACACACTGAGAAAGAACCCCCAGTGTCTCTACTGATGTCTTTGCAAACATGTAGCTCTGCTGCAAGACCTACCACTGACACTCGAATATTTGCATCCTTCACTTTCTGGAAAAAGAAAGTAGGAAGTAAAGAAATTGAGAAATTAGTGGCCGATAGAAACTCTAAGTACTCGACAAAAGTCCCAGACTTTCAAATGTCCAGTCTTACAAAGGGCCCATCATCATTCCCCAATCAAAAACAAAATTCTAAATTTCCACATTGTGAAGTGTTACTGATGCACTATTTAAATATATACTAAGAAAAACTCCTAATAATGGCTAATAAGAAGAGAAAGTGTTGATGGGGCACCAGTGCCCCATCAACACTTTCAACACTATAGTACTGAGCTTATAGGAAATCTGGTTCAAGGTAATGAATGCCATTTAGGAATGCATACCATTCATAAGTTGGGGGACTGCCATTATATGTTAATGATTTAAACTATAAATTTATTTAAATACTAATATGACATTTCAAAAAGCAATGAAAACTCAACTGGAACCTGATCTAACATCACATGTTGTAGAAGGACATTGATATGCCAAACGACTGAATGCAACAAAGTCTCTCTCTCCAATTAAGAAATGTTGACAATCACGTTTAATGTGCTGACAAAATTAAAATAACACATGGACCATAAATGTCCTTTATGCACTCAGTTGCTCCCTAGAGCACTATTTCAAATTACCCAGACATGTGAAATCCAGTTTGGGCCAATGCAACCTTCCATCTTCTAAAGCAGCAGAGATTATTTCTTAAATAGCCCTACCATGCCATAACAGTAGCAAGGTAGATACTAGAGAATTCCCTCATCAGGCTTCGATGATCATCTGAAGGTATATTCCTCTTCCCTCAAAACTCAAAACAGTATTTGAAAATCCAACAGACTCAAGTATTACTTCTGTTAGTCCTTTAATGCCCAATAACAAGTTTATTGGCTGCTACTGCCACTTGGAAGCAGATGGCACCATCGGTGGAGTAGGCAGTTAGCCACCTTGCTTGCCTTGCTGTCAATCCACTAACCCTATGAAGACATGACAGGGAAGGTAGGACAAAAGGAGGGTTGATACCTTGTTGATGGGGTTCTGGGAGTTTTTCTACTCCCCAAGCCCGGCCCGAGGCCAGGCTTGACTTTTGAGAGTTTGGTCCACTAGGCTGTTGCTTGCAGCGGCCCGCAGGCCCACATACCCACCGCAGCCTGGTTGGTCCGGCACTCCTTGGAGGAAACTATCTAGTTTCCTCTTGAAGATGTCCACGGTTGTTTCGGCAATATTTCTTATGCTCGCTAGGAGCATGTTGAACAACCGTGGACCTCTGATGTTTATACATTTTTCTCTAATTGTGCCTATAGCACCCCTGCTCTTCACTGGTTCTATTCTGCATTTTCTTCCACATCGTTCACTCCAGTATTTTGTTATTTTACTGTGCAGATTTGGGATCTGGCCCTCCAGTATTTTCCACGTGTATATTATTTGATATCTCTCCCTTCGTCTTTTTAACGAGTACATTCGGAGAGCTTTTGGACGATCCCGATAATTTAGATGCTTTATCTCGTTTATGTATCCTGTATATGTTCTCTGTACTCCCTCTATTTCAGCAATCTCTCCTGCTCTGAATGGAGAAGCGAGTACTGAGCAGTACTCAAGACGGGACAGCACATGTGATTTGAAGAGTACAACCATTGTGATAGGACCCCTGGATTTGAAAGTTCTCGTAATCCATCCAATCATTTTCCTGGATGCCACAATATTTGCTTGGTTATGCTCTCTAAAATTTAGGTCGTCAGACATCATTATTCCCAAATCCTTTACATACTGCTTTCCTACTATGAGCAAATTTTATTGCGTTTTGTACCCTGTATTATGTTTAAGGTTCTCATTTTTTACCGTATCGGAGTACCTGGCCGCACTCGGTCGGAGTACGGCCAGGTACTCCAGAGGGAGCCGGTCGGCCGAGCGGACAGCACGCGGGACTTGTGATCCTGTGGTCCTGGGTTCGATCCCAGGAGCCGGCGAGAAACAATGGGCAGAGTTTCTTTCACCCTATGCCCTTGTTACCTAGCAGTAAAATAGGTACCTGGGTGTTAGTCAGCTGTCATGGGCTGCTTCCTGGGGGTGGAGGCCTGGTCGAGGACCGGGCTGCGGGGACACTAAAAGCCCCGAAATCATCTCAAGATAACCTGGAATTTATCGCTGTTAAACATGTTATTTTCTGCTGCCCAGTTGAAAACTTTATTAATATCTGCTTGTAGTTTTTCATTATCTTCAGCAGAGGTAATTTTCATGATGATCTTTGTGTCATCTGCAAAAGATGATACGAAGCTGTGCCTTGTATTTAAGTCTATATCTGATATGAGAATAAGGAAAAGCAGTGGTGCAAGGACTGTAACTTGAGGTACTGAGCTTTTAACTGCACTTGGACTAGATTTTATATGGTTGATTGTTACTCTTTGCATTCTGTTCGACAGAAAACTGAGTATCCAGCATCCTACTTTACCAGTTATTCCCATTGACCTCATTTTGTGTGCTATCACTCCATGCTCACATTTATCGAATGCCTTTGTGAAATCCTTGTATACCACATCTGCATTCTGTTTTTCTTCTAATGCCTCAGTGATTTTGTCGTAATGGTCAAGTAGCTGTGAGAGGCATGATCTTCCTGCTCTAAATCCATGTTGGCCTGGATTGTGGAGGTCATTAGTCTCCATGAAACTAGTGACCTGACTCCTGATCACTCTCTCAAATACTTTTATCATGTGGGACATTAGTGCAACTGGTCTATAATTCTTTGCCAATGCTTTGCTCCCTCCCTTGTGTAGAGGGGCTATGTCTGCTGCTTTAAGCGCATCTGGTATCTCCCCCATGTCCAAACTCTTCCTCCACACTATACTGAGTGCCTGTGCTACTGGCACATTGCATTTCTTTATTAATTTTTGAAATAGGGTACAGGAGCATTCAAGTGATTAGCTCAGAACAAAATTTCATCTAAACTCAGTGCCTTATTTCTGACCTTAGGCCACTCAAAGTCACTCCATTAGGTAAGAGTTAATAATAATAATAATAATAATAATAATAATAATAAAGTAAATAGGGAAGAGCTTGCATATGCTGGAAGCAACAAGGGGAAAACCACAGCCCTATCAAAGCAGACATACAATCCCTGATGATAAGAAGACAAGCAGGATGAGTAAGTCAAATGCGTTACAGATGACAGTTGTAGATTCCATACAAAATCAGTCTTGGCAATATGCTGTTCATCTTCTAAAAAATGTAATCCCACATTTCACTGAATGTTATGGTGGAGAAGAAAGCCTCAAAAGGCGATGAACTTCTACAGATCATTATCTTGGCAATACACCACAGGATGGCCTAGCCTAACCAACCTGCATATAAGCCGAGATAGGAACAAAGATGAAATCCATAGGTTGAGCAGATTGTAGTAGATGGTGAAAACCGAGAAATATGAAGATATTGATAGAGCAGTCGCAGGGCACATTACAGGACAGGGGATTGCAAAAAAAAATATGGCACCGTAAGAGAGGCATACTCCTCGTTCTTCAATAGGAAAGAGGGACCAGAATGGATGTCAACAAAGATATACGAAACAAAACCAAGACAATGCAACATAACATACAGCTCATTGACCCAGCTGGCAGTAGCCAACACTAAAAGGAACACATCTGCAAGGTCAGATACTTGAAGAACAGAGGCACCAAAAAGCGATAAGATAAAATCCAACATAGTACTCAGCGATCATTCAGATTTCAAAGGAGCACAGCACAATATTGGAAAGAAGCTGTAGATGAATTCAACATCCAGCCTAATAGCTGAAATGAGACATTAAGACTATAATCCAAGAGGAGAAGTTCCACCAGAGCCATTCTACATGATAAAGGATTAAGTTTAAGAATGCACTGACAAATGCCATAACTAGAAATGCCTTAGGAGAACACAGTCCCACTTTGTACTGACGACAGTGAATTTACACACACCTGAACTATTTAATAAAGCATATGCTCACTATACTAAAGACAGTCTCAGGATGAATCTACTGCCACTTAATTATAACAGGGGGGTTCCTTGCTGACAGATCTGTTCTTGGGAGTAGACCCACAAAAAGTAAGGAGAGTTGGTGAGCTGCTGTTTGCACAACTAGTTATTGGCTTTTACAAAAAGAAGAGCAAAACGTTGCAGTGAATTCAATTCCAAGTATTGCTTAAAAGGAGGTTTTTACGTGTTATCCTCCTGTTATGGGCTGCTGAAGGCATATATATAACAGCTCCCTACTGTGTCAGGAGATGGGAAGTCACACTGGCCCAGGATGGCTTTCACAATTTTTCAAGAGGATTGGGAACCTAAGGCACCTCAGTCATTTGTCATTTGACAAGCACCATAGGCAGTAACTGAGCAGTGTATGCTCACAATTTTACTTTTAAGTGACATATAAAATGATACGTAAAATAATGAAAATGATTTTCTATTGTTTGCACCGATAAAATCATCTGTAGCTAAAACACAAGAAAATATCCTATGTAAGAGAAAGTTCTGGAACCAGTTGTTTTACTGAAGGTTTCCACAGTTTGCAGTCTCCGTGGTGTAGTGGTTAAGACACTCGCCTGGCGTTCCGCGAGCGCTATGTCATGGGTTCGTATCCTGGCCGGGGAGGATTTACTGGGCGCAATCTTAACTGTAGCCTCTGTTTAACGCAACAGTAAAATGTGTACTTGGAGAAAAAAACGATTCTTCGCGGCAGGGGATCGTATTCCAGGGACCATAGATTGACTTGCCCGAAACGCTACGCGTTAGTGGCTGTACAAGGTAACAACTCTTGTATATATCTCAGTACAGGTGTACATTAGGTGGTTACTTCCTTCAGCATTACCTGAAGGAAGGCAGCTAACCAGAAAGTCTCTCATGTAAGACACTCAGAATGTAACTCATGTTATGGTTCCTGGCATTGAGGGAATTATCAGGAGAACATGCCAAGTCATTACGAATATATAGCACATGAAAGAGATCAGGATAAGGATCTGGGATTGTACACCAACAGTTGGTGTACAATTTTTGCTTCTAATGTTTAGCCATGTACAAATATTTCAAGTTATGACCCTAATTTGGGGGCCTCGTAGCCTGGTGGATAGCGCGCAGGACTCGTAATTCTGTGGCGCGGGTTCGATTCCCGCACGAGGCAGAAACAAATGGGCAAAGTTTCTTTCACCCTGAATGCCCCCTGTTATCTAGCAGTAAATAGGTACCTGGGAGTTAGTCAGCTGTCACGGGCTGCTTCCTGGGGGTGGAGGCCTGGTCGAGGACCGGGCCGCGGGGACACTAAAGCCCCGAAATCATCTCAAGATAACCTCAAGAATTTTGTTGGAAAAATTTCACTCGACTTACGACCTTTGCCTCTACTTGCGCCTTTGTTAATACACTTATGGGTCGATGGAACCTGTGGTTCCTGGTGGCACTGGCGACTCCGCTTCAGTTTACCAGACCACCCGCTTAGTGACAATCACACTTGAATTCTGTGTAAAGAATTTCATTGTTTTGTGCTTTTATTTTTTGTGCTTTTATACATAAAAGTAATTATTATATATCCCGCCATGGGTCCCACGAAAGTCAGTGGTAAGATTCGACCTAAGAAAACATATGTGAGGATGGCCATAGAGGAAAAACAAGAGATCTTCTTAAACATGAAGATGGTGTGCGGGTTGTTAATCTAGCTAGGCAGTACAACAAATTTATGCCAATGATATCCATCGTTCTTGTTAAGAAAAATAACATTATGAGTGCTGAAGTGGCAAAAGGCATATCAATAATCACGAAACACAGAACACAAACACTTTATGTTGAAAAGTTAATATTAATTTGGATGCACAACAAGGAGTTAGCGGGTGATAGCGTTTCAGAGGCCATCATTTGTGATAAAGCAAGGCTTTTGCATGACGATCTTATAAAGAAAACCCCCCCTAGAATGAGTGATGCAGATACAAAAGAGTTTACGGCAAGCAGGGGATGGTTTGAGAAATTTTGAAAAAGAAGTGTCATTCATAGTGTTGTGTGTTGCGAGTTGGAGGAGGAGCACAGAACTGACCACCGAAGAACTCCTAGCCCTTCACAAGGGGCAGCAACAAGAGACAGCCGAGGAAATTTCTTCAGGAGGCGGCGGCGGCACTACAAAAAGTCCCTTCCTCAACACTTAAGAAGTGGTGTACAGTATGGGAAGGAATGCAAAGTTTTGTTGAAACAATTCGCCCAAATCAAGCTGCAGTAGGCCGTTGCCTTCACCTTTACAATGAGTGATGCCTCACTACAGACAAATGTTAAAATGTAGGAAAAACAAGTCTCTATGGAAAGGTTCTTAGTGAGAAAAGCAAGCAGTGAGCCAGAACCTGCACATACCTAGTGGTATGCAGGCAAAATGTAGGAGAGAGAGAGTACCCCCAGATGTGGGGGTACCTGATGTACCATCACTGCCTGATGTTATAATGTAAGGGGACTCCCTTTCCAAACAGTAGCACCTCTCCTCCTCCCCCCCACCCTTCCTCACCATCTTCCATACACCAACAAGAGTCATCAATAAAGGTAAGCTATAACTTGTATATACTATAGTACAAAATGTGTGTGTGTATTATGTATGAAATGTATTTTGAATTTAATATTTTTGAGAGTGCGCAACTGATTAATTCAATTTACATTATTATGAGCAAATTTGTTTTAAGTTTCAAATTTTTGAGTTACGACCCGTCTGTGGGAACGGATTAAATTCGTAAATGGAGGTACCACTGTATAGGCCATGTAAGTTCATTTCAGTTAGCTTAAGGTTAGGTTAGATTAGGATATATTAGGTTATTAAATTTTGGACACACAAAACTGGGTTAAGCAATTACGATTAAATACACCATAAATTACTACTGTATAATAGTTTAATGCTCTAATGTACTGTACATACATTAAAACTTATCTAGTCTCCAAATTAATAAATTAATTTACTCCACATACTTGTATAGTAGCTCCAATTTCACCTGGATCACAGGAAGTCAAAGCTGCAAAGATGATAAGAATCTCTCGAGAAGTGTGTGGTGGGAGGTGACGCAGAGATGACAGTGCCACTTCCAGAGAATTTTGTAGCGAAGGTTCTCCTCTGCAAGGCAGTTCTTGTAGTTTCTTGATACACTGGTGGTAAACAAGTGACAGATATAATGCAATAAGACAGGCACACTATACTGTATATATATTTCTTTTCCGCTAGATTTCTTTTTTAAACAAATATTTCAATACTCAGACTGAGCATTCCAAGAACATTTCTAATTATTTAAAGGAATTTTAATTTTAATGAATTTATGCAAGGAAAACTGAAGAGTAATTTGTTTAAATAGTGGCAAATCTTAAAGATATATTAGAGACATTTGGATTTTTATAATAAAGTAACTGAAATACTGCATGCTTTGGTTAAATTGAAGAAACAGTACAAGCAGCTCACATCTAGATGCCGTTGGGGGTTATTGCTTAGCTCACTGTGTCTCTTGGCTAACTTATTCTGAGTGGTAATTATTCCCAGTTGACTGATGGGGTTCTGTTCATGAAATTCTCGAATAAAAGCCTCAAGAATCTGAAAAAATAAGTCCTCAGTATTTAAATATACACACCGAAAAAATATAAAAAAAGAGATAGTTTAGTTTTTATTAAAAGTTTAATTAGCAGGACACTCGATTGCTCCTTCAAGGTAAGATCTATTGTGGCATTTGGCCAGGATTAGTAACAATCAGGAAGATAATCTACCACTGGCACCACAGGGAACAGTTCAAACAATTCCAGCAGGGAATTGGTGTAAGGGGACCACTGGAGAATACTCATTCCAGATTAAAATTAACCCCAGAAAGATAAAAAATACACACTTATGAAATCCTGTTGGAAAACCCGACACCATTTAATATTACATTCAACATGCAGATAATATTGTTGCTGTGTTGTATAAACAAGTTACCCATAGAAAATGAAGCTTGTAGTGGAATTTTCCGTCAATAGAAAACGGGATATCATTGCCACGTAGTACTATAAATTCACCACCTATTATGGTGGGAATTATTCTTAAATACAGTACATTAGTCTTTGGACTTTTACCATAATAAAAACATCTTATTTGAATTAACTTAATTATCAGTATCAAAGTAAATGTGACCATTCTATCAGTTACTGATATCTGGACAAAGAGCCAGGAGCGTCAGTAGGAAGAGGTCAGCCATTGTTTGTCAAGACCAGAGGCGCAGTGGAGCAAATTCAGCTCGTATAATTTCTCTTGGACGAAGTGTGATGGAGATCAGAGTAGTGTTCTACCATCAACACACTGTCAACATAATCAAGGGAAGTGTCCTACCGAAACCCGTTTATCTAATCATTTCTGGCCAGTTAAATGTTAGGTAGATAAGGGCGAACTGGTTAGAATGCAAACCAGCCTCTTAAATAAAGGTAATTAAGCCTTGGTCCTTATTATCTATTATACAGTGTTTTCTCTGATATAGCTGTCATATATTAGGATTCTGGCTTTACAGCTAGCACCCTTTGACAGGAACAAGAAGAGGAAGCAAGACTTGATACATCAGTTACTGGGTGATGGAAGCTAGCCTCAAACGAGGATAATTTGGTGTCTACATCCTAGTTATACCTGGTGGACTAAGCCTGCTGTACAATAAGATAAGGAACGTCCTCAATGTATACCAACATATGTAGTTTAATACTGTAGTTTGATTGGCTGCATATATATAAATTTAATATAAACCTCCCCCCCTAATGTGTAAGGATCGATTTGTGAGATTATTGCAGAAATACAGTCCACTTATCATACCAATTGCTATCGAAATATATAAATTAACGTAAATATAAATCTCACAGGTCGGTTCCCACAAATCCTTCCTTGCAACAATAACCACCAAATGTAAGGCTTGTGGTTAACTACCAAATGGGCTGCCACCATATGGCACCTCACCCAAACAGGAATACCACAACCAGACATATCACACATACTTACCGATGCCTAAATGCCTACACTAAGTTGCACAAACAAAACCTTGACGAAGTGAAATGTCTAAATGAGACCAGGAACAAAGACATCAATTCTTTTTTCTACAAGATGATAGAGATAGACAAACCTGTGAAACTGTACAAAAAGGCAAACCAACAAAATCATTAGAGAAAGTAGGAGTAAAGGACAAGGGAAGAGGGAGTATGTTCCTGAAATTGTATATACAGTCCTAAGAGATGGAGCGAGATAAAAAAAATACTGGAGCATAGAGATATAATACAACTTAGGGTTCACTCTACCCCAACGATGTGTGAAAATAGTTACAGAATCTACAACTAGAGCTACTTAGCCTAGCAACAATAGAGTGGAAGCTTTAAGCCAATGTGCAAAGGAGTTTTCCCCAGGCACTGAAAACCATAATTTATCAATACTGTACTGGGATATAACTAAAGCTGTACAATAGTTTGTGTCAAAACTACTATCCACAATACTAAATAATGTTATGACCCCAAGTAGCTTGGTGGAACGAGTCTATCACAGTGAGAGTTATTCTGCCTTCCGGACCTGATTGAGAGGTCATAGGAAAGATGTATATATATTAATATATAATAAATGTCAGTGAATAATTTAAGAATATGTATGAGCAGAGGATGAGCATTTAAATAAGTGACATGAAAGGAGATGTAGATATTTTGGAGACGTGAAGTGGAGCTAGCAGGATGTCGTGACCTCACTTGAGCTACAGCAGTCATCAGAGGTGGTTGTACTTTGTTGATCTCCTGGGCAGAGGGAGAATATAGTTCCCTGTGATAATGTTGAAGTGAAGGCTACGTGATGTCAAGTGTGAGGAAGTTGTACGGGAACTCCATTACGATAAATTGGAGATTCTCTGTGATTTTGATAAATTAGAGGCATCCTGGATGTGTGTGTCGGTCGCCCCTTTGTGGAACTCTAATTGTGTTGCTTCTTCAAGAGGAAGGAAGCAAGCAGGTGATTCTGTTGTGGAGCCTGCTGGGCGACTCCGTGTACTCAAGTCAGGAGCAGAAGAGCTGTGAGGCAGTCTTAAAGAAACTTTGTTGGAAATCTTAGAGGACGCCATCTTGGAGGGCCGAGTTGAACGCCCTTGAGCTACGAATTCTGCGGTAAGCTCATGTAGCAGTTGTTATAGTGGTTGCCTGTGCTTGATTGTGTATACAGCGATCATGGCAAGCATTTATGCATGTAGGATATACATTTTTATTGAGCTAGTTAACAAATATAAGGAGTTTGAGTTGAGAAACATGCTGGAGGGAGGAGTGGTACATCCTCCCTCGCCAAAGGTCAAGTGTTGACTGAAGGACAGAGGGCCGCAGCACCGCAGCCGGGGCGGCGGCCCCAGCGTCAAGTCAAGACATGTTCCCAGTGTGGACTCGTCCAGGATGGGGGAGGACCATCGAGGTGATACATTAGTGTTTAAAGAGCTGTCGGATGAAGCAGTTTTATTTTCTGTGAATACATTTAATTATGTTTTGTTAGGAAAACATTAATTATGGCATGACAATGGATTTGCAGGTTCGCGTGGGAGAGCTGCAGCGTTCGCGTGGGAGAGCTGCAGCGTTCGCGTGGGAGAGCTGCAGCGTACGCGTGGGAGAGCTGCAGCGTTCGCGTGGGAGAGCTGCAGCGTTCGCGTGGGAGAGCTGCAGCGTTCGCGTGGGAGAGCTGCAGCGTTCGCGTGGGAGAGCTGCAGCGTTCGCGTGGGAGAGCTGCAGCGTTCGCGTGGGAGAGCTGCAGCGTTCGCGTGGGAGAACTGCAGCGTTCGCGTGGGAGAGCTGCAGCGTTCGCGTGGGAGAGCTGCAGCGTTCGCGTGGGAGAGCTGCAGCGTTCGCGTGGGAGAGCTGCAGCGTTCGCGTGGGAGAGCTGCAGCTTTCGCATGGGAGAGCTGCAAAGGTTTGTGTGGGAGAACTGCAAAGGTTTGTGTGGGAGAACTGCAAAAGTTTGTGTGGGAGAACTGCAAAGTTTTGTGTGGGAGAACTGCAAAGTTTTGTGTGGGAGATGTTAGTTAGAGAACTTTGTACCAGAGGAGGAGTATAAGCTGAACTGCAAGGTGGTGCAGGACTTCGAGTTGAGGAGTGGAACTCCAGTGACATAGTGAAACTTCAAGGAGTGTGGGGAGCTACACATATCTTGTGTGAAGCTGGTGGAGGAGCTTCACTGACATTCAAGGAGGACTTCATGTGCAGCTGATTAGAGGAACTGCAGGAGTACTATATGTGATATTTTGAGGACCTAGATTGATGATTGTACTAGGGGACTTCGAGTAATGGAACAGAGGATCTTATCTACACGTTGATGTTTAAGGGAGTGCTTGATTGCGTTTTGGCATGAAAGGTGCAGGGCAAGATGAGAGATTGATGCTTTTTGTATAGTAGGAAATATGTGAATATTTTATGTGCCATGTATTGCAGCCTAAAGCAGTGAAGGGAGCAGAAGGTTGTAAGCTGAAGTTTAAGGAGCAGCCTGATACAGTTATTGGTTGGAGACATAAGGCGATATTGGTGTGTTATCAGTTGGTAGCAGGTTAAGAGGTTGCATTGTTTTATAACTATTCCCGTATGTATATTGTGTATGTTCTTATGTATTAAATGTTATATTTGTTAGCTGGCTTTTGCTCTTGTCCTGGTGAGGCTTCCTAGCTAGAGAGAGAGAGAGACACGGCTATAACATGGGTGATAGTGAACTATAACTAATGGGGATTGAGAGATCATCTCACAGTAAGGGGAGTGCGGGGAGTCATGGCAGCTGAAGAGAGGGTGTGTACTCATGACAACTAGGTGGTGTGAGCCGTATCCCCTGAATAAAGGTGACACTGAACCCATCTCCCAGAATCAGACACTTACCAGGGTGATCGCCTAAATAATTGCAAGCACTCATATGTCCATTGCTGATCGATTGGCGATAGCGGGAATGTGACTACCGAGGTTGGCTGTTTGTTCTGTCAGGAAGTGGTTGGGGTCTCTGTTCGATGGTAAGCAAGTGTCAGGTTAGTTCATATAACCCAAAGTTACATTGTATATAAAAAAAAAACTCCTCCCCCCCCTGATGATAATAAATATTAAAAATACCTTTAGAGTACAGATATGTCGTGTGGGCTTCAAGTCCTGCTCTGACATTGCTTGAGACAGATCCAGGATAATATATACATGACGCATTATTCCTAGCCTCACACTGGCCTCTCGATCTAGAAGTCTCCTCCGCTTTGCTCTTTGGATCATCTCCGTGACAGATGGTTCCAAGCGACCTGAATCGTCTTCTTGAATAGCCTCCCTGTTTAAGAATATTTATTTTGAATTATAATGTACAATAATTTTAGAAACTCTGAAGCTGTAATACAGTAGAGCACTCTATACCAAAACTATAGCTTTGTGTTTAATGCAATGAAAGTGCAAAAGTCTATATAATAAGTACAGTATATACAGTGCTGGCCATCTCAAAACAAAATAATTAATTATTAGATTATTTAACCAAATCAGAACTTCTGCAGCACCTGACTATTGCTATTTTTCATTATTTGTGGCCACAAACTATATTTTGGGGCTCAAATTCAGTTGCCTCCTCATGTGGGATCCCACTTTGCCCTTGTACAGTGCCCTTGATCATACAGCACTGCAATGCATTACCAATTTTGAAGCCCTCCCTGCAGGTTCAATGAGCTGAAGGAATCGGTCACTGGACAATACACAATCAAGCACAGAAATGACTATGTTATCCCTCCTACCCAACAAAAATAGTAAGGCCATTCCTATGGCTCTTACCCACTACCAGATGGCCTACCTGATCCAACAGTTACACTTATTTTTGCAATGTTCTTAGCTACATCAGCCTATACCACATCAATCACAACATTATGTTTTGTCCAGGAGTACAGGTGGTTGTTTTGCCACATGCCGTGAATAGTCAGCTGTTCACTCACCTCAGTGGCATTGGTGTGGTCTGGTCTGTTACAAATCAAATCTCACCTTTGCTAAGTAAGGGTTTTTTCTTTTATCATCATAAGCTTCTTACTGGATTACTTCTTACTTCTTATAATTGGATTACATATTTTTTTTTTTAGGGTGGGGGGAGGATTTTCTGAAAGACTTGGGTTAGGGATAGCAAAATGTTAAACAAGTTTCTCAATTTTTTGCCTTGTTTTATACGCCTTACATAATGTAGTAGCCATATGTGAGAACATGGAAATAAGGCTTTGGGCATTTTGTGATAAGCTTCTTCCTAATCAGGGGTCAGATTCAGGAAGTAGTTACACAAGCACTTACGAACCTGTACATCTTTTCTCAATTTTTGGTGGCTTTGTTTACAATTATTAAACAGTTAATGAGCTCCGAAGCACCAGGAGGCTGTTTATAACAATAACAACAGTTGATTGGGAAGTTTTCATACTTGTAAACTGTTTAATAAATGTAACCAAAACTCAAAGATTGAGGAAAGATGTACACATTCGTAAGTACTTGCATAATTGCTTCATGAATCTGGCCCCAGATCATTCACCTGCTTCTGTTCCCTCACTTTGAATTTACCTTTCTCCTGGCTGCTGCTTTTCATTCAAATCACATGTGAGCTTTCTCCTGGGAGCTGCTTTCCTTGTTTCAAGTTGAAAATGTCACCTAGTGGCAAATGGCAGGCGAGACTAGGCAGCCCAGTCAGTAATTGGTAATTACTTGTTATCAAGCCAAAGCTTAGAACAGTTTTGATTTTATGGTATGGCCTTCTGATTAGCTATTTCGGGGCAGAATTAAGAAGCCTATTTGTAAGAGACTCCACCAACACATTATGACCCAGCAAGGATGCTTAATTTCTCCGAGATGTATTGCTGTACTGTATATTACACCTGCCTGACAGAGTTGTCAGTAGTCAAGTTGGATCCGGAAATAGCCACACCATATAGCTCAATTGGCTTTAGGCTTTACACACAAGTTTTATGTCTTATTTTTAATGACAGGATAAAATATTGTATACATAAAAGTATGAGTAAAAGTATACAAATAAAGTAAATATATATGTGTACATACAAAAGAATGGGGGTGGTAGGAGAAGATAATATTAGTGTTCAGTGAGAAACCACAAGGTCTCCTCTGAATACTTTTTATTTTCTTCTCCGAGGCTATGGGTCCCCACATTGGCACCAGAGGTGGTACCCTCACAAACTTTAAAAGTATGATATAAAAATTAGTCGAAATAAAAAATGACTTCAAGTCAATATGAAAGATTCCTTTCTGAGTAGAATAATTTGTTTTTCCTAAGGTAAATATCCAGTGATAATACCTGATTCACATACAATTGGAAAGGATTTTATTCTAGCACCAGCTCAGTAAGAATATGGTACCTGTATATAATTTCTGCAAGTGGCAAAAATGACAGCTCAATAATTAAATTTTGAATATAAAAATACAATATTATAAATTCTTTTTAGGCATTGCAATTTAGTACTGTACAGAGAATATGCTCGACTAGAATTCTTTTTTTCATTTCACTGCAACTTTTAAAAAACAAAGTATCCATCCAGCATATTATATCAACTTTTGAGCAGGATACTTTTCTAGCAATTACGCTATCCACTATATTAAAGGATCTTGGGGCACAGTGGTCATAGCTAAAAGGTCCTGGATTTAAGTCCCCAGATAATGTTTCTTTTTACCTGATATCTCTATTTACCTTGTAGTAAACAGGTACCCAGGAGTTAAGCAACAGTTGTGGGTTGTATGCTAGAGAAGGTTTGTAGATTTGACAAACTACAATTTTTAAATTATAAGAAACCACAATTCCAGGATACTAGGCCATGATAATAATTTAATTCCCGTTGTCAGGGACGGGAAGCCTGTACTTAGGCTTACCAGGGTGTCCCTAGGTCAACTACCGATCTTGCCCATCAATATAATCTACAACAGTTGCTCAACTCATGGGAATCTGTTACATGCAAGGGAAGCAGGGGCATCATGGGAAAGGAAATATGCTCAACTATGTCATGCCCCCACCAATGGATCGAGCACCACCCAGGGATCGCGCACCACCCAGGGATCTAGCGCACCACCCAGGGATCGAGCCCACCACCCAGGGATCGAGCCCACCACCCCAGGGATCGAGCCCACCACCCAGGGATCGAGCGCACCACCCAGGGATCGAGCGCACCACCCAGGAATCAAGCACACCACCCAGGAATCGAGCACACCACCCAGGGATCGAGCGCACCGCCCAGGGATCGAGCGCACCGCCCAGGGATCGAGCGCACCGCCCAGGGATCGAGCGCACCACCCAGGGATCGAGCGCACCACCCATTAACGTGATTCACTTAAGTCTACCATCTTGAGGTTATCTTGAGATGATTTCTGTTTTTTTTTAGTGTCCCCGCGGCCCGGTCCGCGACCAGGCCTCCCCCCCCAGGAAGCAGCCCATGACAGCTGACTAACACCCAGGTACCTATTTTACTGCTAGGTAACAGGGGCATAGGGTGAAAGAAACTCTGCCCATTGTTTCTCGCCGGCGCCTGGGATCGAACCCAGGACCACAGGATCACAAGTCCCATGTGCTGTCCGCTCGGCCGACCGGCTCCCTTCGGCACCACTCCAGGGATCGAGCGCACCACCCTGGGATCGAGCTTGATTGTAAGTCAAGGATGTAGACCTCTCTCATTAACACCACCAATCCTACAATGATGAAATAAAGTGTTCTTTGAAAGGCTGCTGGCTTCCTGTTCCCCTTGAAGCCAACAGTTAATAGTAGCCTCGAGGTAAAATATATTTTATTTCTTGATCCCTCTATAGTTCACAGATCTGGTGGACTACCCACTTGAAAAATCTTCACAAAACAAGCGTAAGACACGCTCAAACTTTTTCTCATTCATTTTAAGAGTACAAAGTGTAGACAAAAATTAAAAATAGTTTTGAAACCTTATAAGGACACGACTTGCAGAAATACATGGACCAAAAACCACCAAGAACTGCAGTTGCATCACAGAATACTGCTTCAGGAAGGTAACATGAAGGTACTGTACCATGTTTTCTCATATCCACTCTCCCAACGGTACTCCTTAGGGTCGTCCTCTTCGTGAATCATACTGGCGATGCTCGGGGGCGCTGGTGTCTCTTCTTTATGTACCCGTGCAAGTTGCCTGAAGGTTTACTCCTGCTGGCGCTGCAGTTTAATCTCACTGTTGGTGACGGTGGTAGTAATGTTACCACTTCACGTGTTGTTAATTTAGGGCGAACTGCTTCACGTGTACGTCTGTCTGTCACCGTCGCCGCCTTCTGCAGGAGTCGTCAACAAGAAGAGAAATTGTCGTACATGCATAAAATGTTTCGTGTTTTGATTTTTTGTTATTAACAAGCTTAGATATACACAGCAATGTGCTGCTACCCTATTCTATATGAAAGATTACACAGTGTAGATAAAAACACTAGCTGCTAAGAGTCATACATCTATAGATCATCTAATAAAATCATCTAATCTAATAAAAGACTCCTATAAGTCCTTATTGTTATACTTATACTCGGCTATAAGTAGCTCTGGAAATTTTCATTACATGCTGATGTAGATCTGACCAAATTTAAAGTGTCAGCTGAAGTATTCGCAAACTCTCCTTCACTACGTTATGGAGTGAGAAATGATATGTGAATTTAGAGACAACTAATGTATGACCTGATATATGACTAATGTATGACTAATGAGACAACTAATGTATGACCTGACCTGCTGATGTAGACCTGACCAAATTAAAAGTGTCAGCTTAAGTATTCGCACAATCAGTTCACGAAAAGATACGTGAACTGATTGATTGACTGATGAAGATTAAGTCACCCAAAAGGTGGCACGGGCATGAAAAGCTCGTAAGTGGTGGCCCTTTTGAGCCATCAGCAGTATCAATAGATGATACTGGAGATCTGTGGAGGTGCAACTGCACCCTGTGTGACGGGAGATGTCTTTCATGTGAATGTGTTAAGATGAAGATGAAGCCACCCAAAGGTGGCACGGGCATGAAAAGCTCGTAAGTGGTGGCCCTTTTGAGCCATCACTACGTGAACTTAGAGACAACTCTATAACAAATATTCAAGAAATGTATAAATATTTAATTCAAAATGAGCTAAACTACCATAAATTTTAACCTAATATTCCCAGTTTGCTAATCGCAGGTAGTAAATGTATAATTATTATATAATTATCATGTGGGTGATTGTAATCTTTCCACCGCTGCCCACTGGATGGAATAGGGGAGCAGCACATTGCTGTGTATACCAAAGCTTGTTAATAATAATAAAAAAAATTAATGTGAGGCTGTATACAGAATAAACATCAATTGTAACACTAACTCTCCACGTCTTTCTAAGCTAAGTTGCTTAGCTTAGAGATTGTACTTGTGGTCGGTATCCATCCCAGCATGTAGTTATTGATTATTAAACAATGTATTAAATTTTGCAACTAGCTCATCAAGACTGCAACTTTTTTAGCTAAATGAAATTTAGGGTTGAGTCCCTGAACAAATTATATGCCTCTGTAACTTTTTCCACTACAGCCTATGGGATGGGAATGGAGTGCATAGTAAATTCTAAACTAAACTGACATGTCATCTCTTTGAATTACATATAAATTACATTATAAATAAATACATTTATGAGCATATATAGGAATACTGTATTTTATACGTGATATCTATATTCCTGGAATTCACATATATGTAATGCAATTATCATAGTAATGATCATTTGAATCATAAATTAAAGTGACATACTTCATAAAATATTATGAATTATATATATGAAGAGATAAATATATGAATTATATTTTACGGAGTATTTAACGTATGTAGCTGGTTATCGTCGTACATAGTATATAGGTGTTTACATTTATATCGTTCAAGCTTAATTGAATAATAAACACAAATATGTCTCAGTGCACGGATCAGTAATATACAAATTAAAATATGCATGCATAAATATATGCCATTTAACATGTTAGTTAAATAAATGGCTCGTTGATTCCAAGTGAACCACATCTTGACATGGAATAATCTCACATATTAACACTAATAAATGCAGAATATCTTGGCTGCTAAACAAAATTAACCCTACTCAAATAATAAATAATATACACGCATTTTAGGTTCAAATAAAATAAATTGGAGATCAAATATTTCGACAGCAAATTAGCTTTGTTTTGGTGTGTGAGAGAGTGCAGGAGCAGACATCTTGCGGGGCCTGCTTCACTACTCTCCATATTTCCTGGCATGACACCCTCTTATCTCCTCACCTAACTGCATCCAGATGTACGGTGAGTACATTGCACTCTCTAGCAAGGGGTAGAGTGGCCAAAATAAATGTTGTGTGTGTTTCATCTGCAAGCTCGCCACTGTGTATCAGTTTCTTATCAGTCCTCTGTGTGTACGTGTGCCTCTTATGTCTCCTCTCTTGGGTGGCATCTTGTCTTATGTATGTATGTATGTATGTATGTATGTATGTATGTATGTATGTATGTATGTATGTATGTATGTATGTATGTATGTATGTATGTTACTACCAAATGCCAGTGAGAGTTACTGAATTTCTCCTTATTTATTTCATTTGCATACATATTAAAAATAGACGTACTGTCAGAGGATGTGTGTGTGTGTATACTATTATACATTTGGTTTACATGGGCTGATGTTGGAAATAAGTTCATGGGTACCAGGCCCAGTATGTCAAAGTGTGGTCAAGCCATAGTGTGACCAGATGGCTTGTGTTTGTGGTCAACTCATAGCATTGTTTTGTTCCTTTATGGAAAGTGTGGCATATCAGAGAACAGCTCTTTCTCAGGATTGATGTGATAATTCTCCTAAGTAATGAGCCACTACCTAACAAGAAGTATGGATATGTTTCAGATTAATCTGCAAAGGAGGCTATATTAAAAAAATTGTATTTCTTATATACATTATCCTATTTCTTAAACTAATTTCCTGTTTCTTATATACATCAACGATTTGCCAAATGTTTCTAACATTCTTAAACCTATACTATTTGCTGACAATACGACCTTCATCTATTCTGACCCCAACCCCCACACACTGAATATTATTGTCAATAATGAATTTTAAAAAGTCCACTTGTGGATGTCAACCAACAAACTCACTCTTAACATAGAAAAGACCTACTACATTTTGTTTGGTAGTAAATCATCAAATCAAATTCAACTTCAGGTAGACAATGTTAACATTTACAATAAAAATGAGGGAGAGTTCCTTGGCCTATATATAGACAAGAGATTCAACTTCAGCACCCACATACAACACAGCCAAAAAAAGTCTAAAAAACGGTCGGTATACTTTCTAAAATTGAATATTATGTTCCCCACTCCGCTCTGTTCTCTCATTGTACTGTACTACAGTACACGCTAATCTATTCCTATGTTACATACGGTATCTCTGCATGGGGTTCAATCACTGCAAATTACCCAAGTCCATCATCACTCAGCAAAAATCTGCTATCAAAACTAAACAAATTTTGTCTTCAGACAACACAGCCCCTCTGTTTAAGTCACTTAACATGCTAAAAATACACTCATGTCACAAATTTTCTTGTGCTATTTACATGTACAAAACCTTATTCCTAAATGCTAATCTTGATCTGAAACTTTTCCTTGATATGTGGAATAGAACCCATGAGCACAATTCCAGAAATAAATATATCTTTGATATCCCCAGAGTCAAACTAAATCTGTGCAAACACACTATATGCAAATAAAAGGACCCAGTCTTTGGAACTCACTTCCTAGTTATTTAAAAAATTCTCCAACACATGCCCTATTCAAAAGTAAAACCTAAAAGTCCCTAATTTCATCCTCATAGTTTCCTACCTTGTGCTTCAAACTCATACTGTATCTTGTACTACCCACTTCCCTAATATTAGTACTTAAGACATATCTTTACCATTGTAATCACCTCTGTCAACTTATATTGTAGTTATTTGTTGATGTAAAACCTTGCTACAATGTACATTTTCATCTTACCTGATATGTTAGATTAAGGTGATTAATTGCCATACCACTAGGAGTCATCAGTTGCAGAGTTCTTGTATGCCTACCAGGAACCATGAACCAGAACCTGGCCCCTCTCACAGTGGCACAGGGAGCAATGGCCCATGAACACTTTACATGTAAAGTTTATCATTTTGCCATCGACCAGGAAAGGCACTCAGAAAGGTAGGCGAATCAAAACAGACCACTGCCTGGTTGAAAAATGCGACCTTCGTCCTGAAAATATAAAAATAACTCCACACAAAAAAAATCAAGCAAAACTTCATCCAACTAACCCCCCCCCCCCTCGTCCCCGCTCATTTAACTCCACCTCCTCTGCCCCATGGGGGGGAGGGGGTGGGGGAGCCGGGCTGCCATCAGCCAGTTCTTGACTGATGCTTTTGCCAGGCAGTCCTTGGCTCGCTGAGGCCACAGTTTCCAATTTTTATTGGCATTTTTGCCTTGTAATTACCTAAGTGTAATTACCTAAGTGTAGTTACAGGATGAGAGCTACGCTCGTGGTGTCCCGTCTTCCCAGCACTCTTTGTCATATAACGCTTTGAAACTACTGACGGTCTTGGCCTCCACCACCTTCTCACTTAACTTGTTCCAACCGTCTACCACTCTATTTGCGAAGGTGAATTTTCTTATATTTCTTCGGCATCTGTGTTTAGCTAGTTTAAATCTATGACCTCTTGTTCTTGAAGTTCCAGGTCTCAGGAAGTCTTCCCTGTCGATTTTGTCAATTCCTGTTACTATTTTGTATGTAGTGATCATATCACCTCTTTTTCTTCTGTCTTCTAGTTTTGGCATATTTAATGCTTCTAACCTCTCCTCGTAGCTCTTGCCCTTCAGTTCTGGGAGCCACTTAGTAGCATGTCTTTGCACCTTTTCCAGTTTGTTGATGTGCTTCTTAAGATATGGGCACCACACAACAGCTGCATATTCTAGCTTTGGCCTAACAAAAGTCATGAACAATTTCTTTAGTATATCGCCATCCATGTATTTAAATGCAATTCTGAAGTTAGAAAGCATAGCATAGGCTCCTTGCACAATATTCTTTATGTGGTCCTCAGGTGATAGTTTTCTATCTAGAACCACTCCTAGATCTCTTTCTTTATCAGAATTCTTTAAAGATTTCTCACATAATATATAGGTTGTGTGGGGTCTATGTTCTCCTATTCCACATTCCATAACATGACATTTATTAACATTAAATTCCATTTGCCAAGTGATTTGTGAGACTGTTGCTGCGCAGACGTGTGCGTTGGCCAGGAGTACGTATTGTGTACTGGAGTTTCATGCGCCTAGGACCACCTTCCCTAGGTGCTCCGTAAGTGCTGCCCTTGCGTGGCCAGGGTTCTGTTCCTTTGGGCGTTTGGGAATTTGGGAGTGTTGTCAGCAGGTGGGCTGCACTGTGGCAAGCGTAGCCGGCTCTTCAGACAGCTAAAGGCATACCTGATTCTCCCAGACTGCTTGTTTGCTGTTGGATGGTCTCGGGGGTTTTAATTCCTTATGTCTTCTTTTGCATTTGTTTGCATGTTTTAGCGGGGATGTTCTGTGTTTCGCCTGTGTTAGGCTTGCCTAGGGTGTGTGCGGTGGAACTTCTCTGCTGCCCCCAAGGCTTTCTGGCAGTTTCTAGTGGTCTGGTTAGTGGTCACAGGAAGCCCAGGCACTGGGCTTCCTGGGGGGCTCATTTACCCCACAGACCCTAGAAATCCTTGTCGAGCTTGATTGTACCTGTACTATGAATACTTCTTCTAAGCCCAGTCTCATCTTATGCAAATTTGAGGGTTGCTTGTTGCCCCTGCCTCAGGGTGATGATCATTCTTTCTGCCTCTGCTGTGCTGCCTGTGAGTTGGTGACACCTATGAACCGGAGTCTTGTGGGACTTGTTCGCCTCTCGTACTCAAGGTAACTCATTTCCTGTCTGATATTCTGCGGGATCAGGCAGCGGTAGCAACGCATGTACATTTTTTTTGGTGTTGCAACATGCCAGGTTGTGTGACCATTTGGAGGCCCCAGAGCAGCCCCGCTTGGGTTTTAGGGACTCAGATTTGGGAGCATAAATTTTATAGTTACTGTATCAGCTCGCTAATCTGGACTATATGGGAAGGACTCCCAGCCGGATTATCACGCTTTCCGGATTAACGTACTTTTTCACCACGGAAATCCAAAAGTGACCATTTCCAACTATTTTTATACAGTACCACAAATATCATCATTTGAATTGCCTTACCAAATATACAGTAATTATAAAATATTCAACTAGAAACCTCAACTTACTTTGTTGTAGTTCGTCTTCTTGATTGATGCCACACATCTTGAAATTAAGAATTCTTGACAATTTACGCAACCTATTCTAACACAACACCAAAGTTAACACTTAAAATTACTGTACAGTTCATGAGGCAAAGTTAGTTTTGACTGCCAGCTGCTGAAACCTCACTGGTTGAAGGCACTTTGGTTGCCTGTAAGGCCTCACTGGTTGAAGGCACTTGGCTTGCGTGTGACGCCTTACTGGTTGAAGGCGCTTGGCTTGCCTGTGACGCCTCACTGGTTAAAGGCGCTTGGACTGCCTGAGACGCCTCACTGGTTGAAGGCACTTGGCTTGCCTGTGATGCCTCACTGGTTGAAGGCACTTGGCTTGCCTGTAACGTCTCACTAGTTGAAGGCGCTTGGCTTGCCTGTGATGCCTCACTGGTTGAAGGCACTTGGCTTGCCTGTGACGTCTCACTGGTTGAAGGTGCTTGGCTTGCCTGTGACGTCTCACTAGTTGAAGGCACTTGGCTTGCCTGTGATGCCTCACTGGTTGAAGGCACTTGGCTTGCCTGTGACGTCTCACTAGTTGAAGGCGCTTGGCTTGCCTGTGACGCCTCACTGGTTGAAGGCACTTGGCTTGCCTGTGATGCCTCACTGGTTGAAGGCACTTGGCTTGCCTGTGACGTCTCACTAGTTGAAGGCACTTGGCTTACCTGTGAAGCCTCACTGGTTGAAGGCGCTTGGCTTGCCTGAGATGCCTCACTGGTTGAAGGTGCTTGGCTTGCCTGTGACGTCTCACTAGTTGAAGGCACTTGGCTTGCCTGTGATGCCTCACTGGTTGAAGGCACTTGGCTTGCCTGTGACGTCTCACTAGTTGAAGGCACTTGGCTTACCTGTGAAGCCTCACTGGTTGAAGGCGCTTGGCTTGCCTGAGATGCCTCACTGGTTGAAGGCGCTTGGCTTGCCTGTGACGCCTCACTGGTTGAAGGCGCTTGGCTTGCCTGTGATGCCTCACCGGTTGAAGGTGCTTGGCTTGCCTGTGACGTCTCACTGGTTGAAGGCGCTTGGCTTGCCTGTGACGCCTTGCTTGTTAAAGGCTCTTGGCTTGCCTGTGATGCCTCACTTGTTGAAGGCGCTTGCCTTGCCTGTGACGTCTCACTGGTTGAAGGGCTTTTGGTTGCTTTTCTTGCTGTTTTCAGTGCGGTGTTCATGGAGTGTGGGGTTTTTTACTTTGCTTTCCCAACTGCAATGCATACGTCACCAATGTACATGTGGCAGATGCTCCACGGAGCAGTCAGAATCCAGCAGAGAAAATACGAGAGCAAGCGTATAGGGCCTGGGAGCAAGGTCGAGTAAGAGTCCTTGATGGTCTCTTCTCAGACTAGCCTCACCTGGTCCTGGTCCACGTTGGTTGTTAGAATCTCCTCAATGGTTGAAACATTTTAAGGGACTCCAAGGGTCCTCATCACATTTATAGATTTGTGAATAATAGGCAATTTGGTGTTGAAGATACCTGGGGCTGAAGGCTTAAGTAATAGTTAGCAGTATTCAGAAGTGGTTCAACGGAAACACCGCATAATGCTTAACAGCAATTTATTTACAAACTTAATTACTAATACACTGGTTGATTTATTTTAGATTGGCGTCAGAAAGACTATGGTTGCATTAGCAAGACTTGATGTCTGACTAATCGATTATGATTCATTCGTGGAAAAACACCTAACTTAACACACTTGACAGCCAATCATTAACACGGTAAACCTAACTGCCGGTGTGCAAAGGGTCACAGGAGTTCCAACAGAATACTCGGGTAATGATGATGCACAATTAATCAATTATGGTACTATCAATGGGACAGGCAATAATCATGCACAATAATTATGTCACACAATAACTAAATGTGTGGTGTATGTGAAACTCGCACATTCACAGATGAGTGTAATGTCGTGGTACCACACGGATAAACACCGTCAAGTGAGTGTCGGTCTCTCCCTATACCTGTGTCAGGTATTGAAAAGGTGAGAAATGTGGTTGACCTCTCAGATCAACTCACAAACAGACAGACACAATAAACAAGAAAAGATCTTGTACTTACAGGTATGGCTACCTCTTGCATTCACTCACTCATGCACATTTATGCTAGACCTCGTAGGTGGCCTGACAGCTGGTTTCGCTCGTTATGATGTGAGACCACTGACGACAGGCTTTCCCAACACACCGTACTTGACAGGGCAGGGTACTTGCAGGAGGGCATGCTATATATCTAATAGACACATACACCCTTGATGGCACCAGCTAATAAGTAAAGTGGTGACAGGCAGTGATGTCACATAGTACAGTGAGGCTTGGAGGTTGCTACATGCTATAGACTGAGTGGCGGCGACGGCGGCTAAATTATTACACCATGCAGGTGCCTGCGTATAAGTTCACTCAAAGTACTTAGGTGGCGGCACTATCTTAGTTCACTCTAGGTCACTCACAGATGATCTCAATTTGTCACCAGGGTTTACTTGATACCAGTCTGTTTTGCTCTGGTAATTCACAGACTTTGTCACTCAAGAAGGCTTCTAAACAATATACAGTAGTCACAATCACGATTTCGGATGAGCGTTGATATATCAAGAAGAACGCCGAGTTTAACTTGACAGTGAGGAACGGACAGAGTTCTATCTATTGGCCGATAGACAGAAGGACACGACAAACACATACGGAGATCCTCACGAGAATGCCCTTGCAAAGGCTTGCAAGCTCCCTCGGGGCACAAACACCAGGTCTACAAGTGACCAATGGTGTTGCAGCGAAGGTGCCGGAACCAATAATACTGTACTGATCGTTACATGATCGGTAGAAAAGTGACGTCATGACCATGTCACGACTACGTCAATTGTTTTCATTGCGCCAGTTGAGATTGGCCCCAGAGGTCAGAAACTTAGGTCGCCTTGCTGGCGTCCCCCCCCCCCCTCTACCATGTCTCGCACCTCAAGCTGTGCACTCCCTGGCTCTATGGCATGAAAGCTTAATTCCTCTGTATCTACTTTCTGCCTGGACATGCGACAGCCTCCGTATGATACCAGAATTCCTAGTTATGTGGGCATCCTAATGACACCCAACATGACAGTTTCCATCCAGGGTTAAAAGACATAGGGCCCTGTGCATGACTAGGTGCATTGTGAACTTCAATGAGCCATTCAGGTCAGCTGTGGGAGAATCTTGAGAGACCATACTCTCACAATGGGCCATTGCTCACTGCGCCTCTGAAGGAGGCCAGGGTCTAGCAAGTGGTCCCAGGTAGGCATACAAGAATTCTGTGACTGATGACCTCACCTTCCTTGAGGTTACCTTGAGGTGCTTCTGGGGCTTAGCGTCCCTGCGGCCCGGTCGTTGACCAGGCCTCCTGGTTGCTGGACTGGTCAACCAGGCTGTTGGACGTGGCTGCTCTCAGCCTGACGTACCAATCACAGCCTGGTTGATGGTTGATCAGGTATCCTTTGGAGGTGCTTATCCAGTTCTCTCTTGAACACTGTGAGGGGTCGGCCAGTTATGTCCCTTATGTGTAGTGGAAGCGTGTTGAACAGTCTCGGGCCTCTGATGTTGATAGAGTTCTCTCTCAGAGTACCTGTTGTACCACTACTTTTCAACACGGGTATTCTGCACATCCTGCCATGCCTCCTGGTCTCATATGATGTTATTTCTGTGTGCAGGTTGGGGACCAGCCCCTCTAATATTTTCCACGTGTAGATTATTATGTATCTCTCCCGCCTGCACTCAAGAGAGTGCAGATTTAGGCTCTTCAGTCGGTCCCAGTAGTTTAGATGTTTTAATGAGTGGATTCTAGCAGTAAAGGATCTCTGCACGCTTTCCAAGTCAGCAATTTCTCCAGCTTTGAAAGGGGCTGTCATTGTGCAGCAGTACTCCACTCTAGAGAGCACTAGCGTCTTGAAAAGTATCAACATTGGTATAGCATCTCTAGTTTGAAAGGTTCTTGTTATCCAACCTGTCATTTTTCTTGCAGTAGTGACAGCTACTTTATTGTGTTCTTTAAAAGTGAGGTCTTCCGGCATGAGTACACCCAAATCCTTTACAATGCCTTTTCATTCTATGTTATGATTTGACTGAGTTTTGTATGTGGTTTCCGTTTTTATATTTTCATTTTTTCAGTAGCGCATGAGCCGGAAATTATCTTCGTTAAACACCATATTATTTTCTGTAGCCCATAGAAAGACCCGATTTACTTCTGATTGGAGGTTTGCTGTGCCATCTATGTTGTCCACTCTCATGAAAATCCTAGTGTCATCTGCAAAGGATGATACAGTGCTATAGATTGTGTCCTTGTCTATGTCTGATATGAGGATGAGAAAAAGTACTGGAGCAAGCACAGTACCCTGGGGGACTGAGCTCTTCACAGTTGATGGCCCGGATTTTGTTTTGTTGACTATTACACATTAGGTTCTGTTAGTCAGGAAATTGTAGATCCATCTGCCTATAACTCCCAGTAGCATGGCACTCGATCAGTAAGATAGCTTCAGGGAACCTCCAGTGCTCACCCAGAAACTGACGTTTCATCACATTCAATGCTTGTTTTTTGTTTTTGTTAAAATAGGACACATTATTCAATTACTGTCAGTGTATCGAGTAACAAAAGTTCCACTCATCACTACTTCTACACTACATTGCCTACCAAAAAAATAAAAAATGAGCATTTACCTCATTTGTAAACACTTTGCCTGCCTTTACAGGCTAAGTATTATCTACAAATAAATTTTACTCTTGGCTTGGAGTTTCACTACAGTATTACCATCAATTCATGCTGTCTTCAATCAAAGCTCCATAAGGCATATTATGCAAATATTTTATATTTTTTGTATTATAACTTTGCTTTAGTATGATCCTCTTGCAGACAAGATGTCGGTGCTGCAGCAGGTGCTAACTGATGCTCGTAAGTTGGCTACCCGCCTGCGAGACCATGACTCCTCCGCTGACTCCTTGCTGTCCCAGGCCCAGGGAATGTTCAAGCAAGTCGAGAGCATGAAAGAGGTGAGTAAACACAATCTGAAGTAGAGAGCATGAGTTGCAGGAGAGTTGTACTACTCCCTTAATTCATGAGCTACAGTATTACTTTATTATCATATTTGGTTGTCCTTCAGATGCTCTGACCCATTGAATAGCCTGATTGTAAAAAAGAAGAATTTCTATTCAACACGCTACATTACCAATACCACCTATAGTGTGTATGCTCAGCTCCCAAATCTACCTTTACTTAATTCAATTATCACTAAACTGTTATCTCTAACTCAAGTCAAGCCTCATTCAGCTCAACTCGACTCAATTCTCACTTATTTCAACTTTTAACTCGCTCTCCAACTTTCACTTAACTTACTCTCAACTCATCTCTTACTCAACTCAGTTGTCACTTACATTCATCATCTTCCCCTCTCATTCACACACTCTAATTCTCACACTCAACAATCTTATTATAATGGAAACAAACATCATTGAAACAGCCTGGTTGACTGGTCTGTGACTGGTGGCTGTCTAATGATTCATGGCTGTGTTTTTACACCTGCCTGTCTGACTGGTGGCCGTCTGATGATTGGATCTTAAATACTGTCAAATACATTACACTATAATCAATGTACTTGGACTGGACGGTAGAGCAACGGTCTCACTTCATGCAGGTCCATGTTCAATCCCGACCATCCAAGTGGTTGGGCACAATTTCTTTTCCCCGTCTCATCCCAAATCCTTATCCTGATTCCTTCCAAGTGCTATATAGTCATAATGGCTTGGCGCTGTCTCCTTATACTTCCATTCCATTCAATCAATGTTATGTTGGTTGCTGGAGGGAAGGGAATTATCAGGGAATGTGCCAAGCCATGATGCCTATATAGCACTTGGAAGGGGTCAGTATAAGGATTTAAGATGGGACAAGGGGAAAGGAACAAAAGCTGGAGTTTTCAAAAGAATTTAGGCAATGTGGTACTTACTGTCAATGATTATTGAAGGCATGTATTGTAACTATACTGGTGAAGTAGGATGCTAGGGTGTTCCCAAGTGAATATGTCTACCATGTTCTGATACTAAAACCTTTCCCTAGTTGATTGCTTACACCACACAAAGCCATTTGTATATAGTTTATATACAGTGTAGCCAATGTCAACTGTTAACCTGACAATATATTTCGCATAGAAACAGTATTGTGTAAAATTTGTTCATCTTGTATTTGTTATTGATATGTGTATCATTGCACGTGCAAGATTGGGTAATTCAAATACAGTATGTAGAAATTAAGAGTTATTTTGAAGTGTGATAGAAACAGTATCATGTGGATGTAGATGTTAATAAAATGTTAAAACTGTGTAAGTGGACCAGCATGTCTAAATAGTGTATACCAGCTGAATTTATAATGTGCTGGAAATTAAATGTGAAGGCCAGTAAAATCACGAAGGCTAGGTGAGCTGTGAGGTTTAATTGTGAAGCAGCCATGTGACTGCTGTGTGGCTCGAGTACATCTCGATTGTCTTAACATACTCAAACCCTGAACTGCAGCATAATATAATTGCACCCTGAAGCATAGCTCTGATATACATGCTCCCTGACCTACAATTTGACATACACCCTGTACCACAACTTCACATCATTTCACCCTTAACTACACCCTTTTATCCTATACAAAGGATATAACACGAACACCGGTCACTTGGCCCATCAACAAAATATAAAAAGTAAAAAAAAAAAAAACAACAACGGCGAGAAAAAGCCAATGTGTTCATTGACGTATGTGTATGTGAAGCCTTACTGAGGAGCTAAAGTGTACCTGTGCATGGTGTCATGCCCCCCCCCTCACTCAGCACTATTGTCTGGGCTATTTTGTGTTTGTTTTCAATCTTTACCTTGCATTAGTCTTGGCTTCCATGCTGAGCTTTGCTTTACTTATGCATTTCACTTCTGCTTTGAGTATTCTTCTTTGTACAGCTATTCATTTTGAGTATTATTTGTATAAAAATTTGAGTATGTATTCTTTTCTTTGTACATAATGCGTTATTATGGTCTTTGTTACAGTGTGTGCACACACTGCCTGTTTCCTGATACAGTGTAGGTTTCCTGTTTTGGTGCCTTCTTCTGATAATTGCTTACAGTGCATGTTTCATTGTGCAGTGGGTGTTGTGCCGTGTACTCACCTAGTTGTGGTTGCAGGGTTGAGCTTTGGTGCTTTGGTCCCACCTCTCAACTGTCAATCAACTGATGTACAGATTCCTGAGCCTACTGGGCTCATATCTACATTTGAAACTGTGTATGGAGTCAGCCTCCACCACATCACTTCCTGGTGCATTCCATTTACTAACTACTCTGACACTGAAAAAGTTCTTTCTAATGTCCTGTGGCTCATTTGGATACTCAGCTTCCACCTGTGTTCCCTTGTGCGAGTACCACCTGTGTTAAATAACCCATCCTTGTCTACCCTGTCAATTCCCCTGACAATTTTATATGTGGTGATCATGTCTCCCCGAGCTCTTGTGTCTTCCATCGACGTGAGGTGCAGTTCACGCTGCCTTTCCTCATAACTCATGCCTCTTAGTTCTGGGGTATGCCTAGTGGCATACCACTGAACTTTTTCCAGCTTCGTCTTGTGCTTGACTAGGTTCTGGCTCCATGCTGGGGCCGCATACTCCAGGATTGGTCTTACAAATGTGGTATACAAGGTTCTGAAGGATTCCTTACACAAGTTTCTGAAAGCAGTTCTGATGTTAGCCAGCCTCATATTGGCTGCTGATGTTATTCTTTTGATGTGGGCTTCAGGAGACAGGTTTGGCATGATATCGACTCCACATTCCACAACACACAAGTGTGTGTTGTGCAGTGGGTGTTGTGCAGTATATTTCTTTGTACAGTATGTGTTTTGTTTTGCAGTTTTGCAGTGTTTTGTCCTTTGCAATGTTTTGTCCTTTGTAGTGAAGGGTGAGATAGGGTGTTGAATGGTAAGGTGAGGGTGAGTGAGGGTGTTGCAGGTGTAGCAGGGGGTAGGGAGGATGTTAAAAGTGTGGTGGGGGTGTTACTGGTTTGGTCAGGGAGTTACAGGTGTTATTGCTGTGAGTGTTTTGGGTAAAGTGTGTGTGTGTGTGTGTGTTGCAGGTGTGGTAAGAGTGAGAGAGTGCTGCATGTGTGACAGGGGTGAGAGGGATTGTGGCAGGTGTGGTGAGAGGGGGGGGGGTGAGAGAGAGAGGATGTTACAATTTTGGGTGGGGTGAGTTGGTTGTAGATATGATTAGGGTATTGCAGGTGTGGTGTGTGGAAGTGTTGCCAGCATGGTGTGGGAGTGTTATAGGCATGATATGGGAGTGTTGCAGGCATGATGTGGAAGTGTTGCTAGCATGGTGTGGGAGTATTATAGGCATAATGTGGGAGTGTTGCAGGTGTGGTGTGAGAAAGTGTTGCATGTGTAGTATGGAAAAGTGTTGCAGGTGTGGTGTGGAAGTGTTACAGGCATGGTGTGGGAGTGTTGCAGGTGTGGTGTGGGAGTGTAGCAGGTGTGGTGTGTGAACGTGTTGCATGTGTGGCATGGGAAAGTGTTGCAGATGTGGTGTGGAGTGTTACAGGTGTGGTGTGGGAGTATTACAGGTGTGGTGTGGGAGTGTTACAGGTGTGGTGTGGGAGTGTTACAGGTGTGGTATGCATGTGTTGCAGGTTTGGTGTGAGAGTGTTGCAGCTGTGGTGTGGGAGTGTTGTTGGTGTGGTATGGGAAAGTGTTGCAGGTTTAGTGTGGGAGTGTTACAGGTGTGGTGTGGTAGTGTTGCAGGTGTGGTGTGGGGAAAGTGTTGCAGGTGTGGTGTGGGAATGTGTTGCAGGTGTGGTGTGGGGAAATTGTTCCAGGTGTGGTGTGGGAACGTGTTGCATGTGTGGTATGGGGAAAATGTTCCAGGTGTGGTGTGGGAAAGTTGCAGGTGTGGTGTAGGAAAGTGTTGCAGGTTTGGTGTAGGAGTGTTGCAGGTATGGTGTGGGGAAGTGCTGCAGGAGTGGTGTGGGAGTGTTGCAGATGTGGTGTAGGAAAGTGCTGCAGGTGTGGTGTGGGAGTGTTGCAAGTGTGGCGTGGGAGTGTTACAGGTGTGGTGTGGGGAAAATATTCCAGGTTTGGTGTGGGAGTGTTGCAGGTGTGGTGTAGGAAAGTGTTGCAGGTGTGGTGTGGGAAAGTGTTGCAGGTGTGGTGTGGAAAAGTTGTAGGTGTGGCATGGGAAAGTGTTGCAGGTGTGGCATGGGAGTGTTACAGGTGTGGTGTGGGAAAGTGTTGCAGGTGTGGTGTGTGGGAGTGTTGCAGGTGTGGTGTGGGAAAGTGTTGCATAAGTAGTGTAGGAAAGTGTTGCAGGTGTGGTGTGGGAAAGTTGCAGGTGTGGCATGGGAGTGTTGCAGGTGTGGCATGGGAAATTGTTGCAGGTGTGGCATGGGAGTGTTACAGGTGTGGTGTGGGAAAGTGTTGTAGGTGTGGTGTGTGGGAGTGTTGCAGGTGTGGTGTGGGAAAGTGTTGCAGGTGTGGTGTGTGGGAAAGTGTTGCAGGTGTGGTGTGTGGGAGTGTTGCAGGTGTGGTGTGGGAAAGTGTTGCAGGTGTAATGTGGGAAAGTATGCAGGTATGGTGTGTGGGAGTGTGTGTTGCATGAGTGGTGATGGTAATGGGGTGAAAGTGTTGCAGCAAGCTTGGTGGGGTGAGTGTGTGTGTGTGTGTGTGTGTGTGTGTGTGTGTGTGTGTGTGTGTGTGTGTGTGTGTGTGTGTTGCATGAGTGCGGGTGTGGTGAGTGTGCGTGCTGGGAGCAGCAGTGATATTGGGGTGGTTGTGGTAGTGTAGCCACACACATACACACACACTGGGCTGAGGTGCAGGTAGTCAAGCATGGATAACACACACACACACACACACACACGCACGCACGCACGCACGCAGGCGACCAGTATAGCTGGAACCAAACAGTTGGAGAGTGCCAGAGTGGGCTTGCTACTGGTGGTACACACACACACACACACACCAGCAGGCTGAGCGTAAAGAGTCA